ATACATACATACATACATACATACATACATACATACATACATACATACATACATATGTATAACACCACGTACGTACGTACGTACGTAGGACAGGACGTACTACGTATATAATATACGTACATGCGTACGAACATACATAATACATATGTACGTACGTACATACATACATGACATACACCTCCCTTCTTTAGAATCCCCAGTTGTGTCCGTTTATGGTATCTGTAAGATCCTTAAATACCACCACCCTTTAGAAATTAGCAAAACTTCAATCGTATTTGGCGGGACTTATCTAAATTTTCAGAATGAAATAAAACTACAATTTGTGGGAAGACACAACCAAAATACACATTTACACTAAACCGAAAACAGCATCCTTTACACGTTATCGTCATCGTCTCTGACTCCAAAAAGAAAAACATGTACCGCTGAAAATAATGTGGCAAAGTGAGATTTAATCTAATTAAAAAAGCCCTGGATTAAATTTCCCTGGCACTGATAAATCCTACTGTGGATAGCAGACATCTCATCGAATATCACAGAGTACTTCATTATAGACTTAGGCCAGGGCCATTTCATTTCGAAGGATCGCGAAATGATTATTTCGGTTTTAGCATTGGTGTTTCCAAGCTTCCACAAAAAATACTTAGAACACTGTCTCAAATTTCATAGAAGTGAAGCAGAAACAATGCATTGTAAATTGTAATGCTTCCTGCGTTTTTTAAATTTGCTATGAACGAGTGTGTTGTGAGATGGTGGTGGGGGGGGGGGGGGGGTGAAGAAATTCGTTGCTATCGTGTGCAACTGAAAGGTTTAAAACAGTTATAGCGATCTTTTCAGTCAAGATTACCATTCACATTGTGGTGAAATCAGGCGTTCGTCAAAATTAAGGATATTATATTTAAACATACGTATCATGAATATACAGGGACTCTCGTGGTCTAAAGGTTACGGTGTTCGCCTCACATTAAACACGTCCAGGGTTCGAAATCTGGCAGCGATGGGAAATTTTCTTCTCTAAAACGTATTCCTTTCACCTCCTTTCCTGCTTTTTGTTGGGGGGTTTTATTTTTTGTATGTGCGTAAGTGTTTTACGGCGCTCGCAACTGCACAAGGTCATATGAGCGTACGGGACACATTAGACATTTTCAATTGGTAGGAAAATTTGAATTTTGCCCGGGTGACGGACGAAGCATCCTCTTATCGATTTTGGACCACAAAGGGATCTTTAACAAGTGCAACTTGCTCACGGGACCTCCGAGATTGTTGGCCCTTGTCCCAGAAGGCTAGGTGTAGATCTTTCCTACCATAAGATCAGGGGTGTGGCTGTAAGACAGCAGAAAGAAGGAGCCAAGTAGTAACAGTAGAAAGGCTGCAGAAAGAGTCAGGAGCCCTGAGGAGGGGGCAAATGGGGCGAAAGAGGGGGGGAGGGCAGAAAGTAGAGAGCATTGAAGGAGGTGAAATTATTTAGAGAAGAAAAATTTCCGTCGCTATCAGAATTCCAACCCAGGACCTGTTGAATGAGAGGCGAACACCTTAACCTGTAGGCCGCGCTCTCTAATCATGTTCCTCAACCTGTAGGCCGCGCTCTCTAATCATGTTCCTCGTCTGCTTTCGTCTCAACTTTCTGCTCTCACCCCTCTTTGTCCTTCCTATGGACTCCTGGCTCTTTCTACAGCCTTTCTACTGCTACTCCTTGATTTCTTCTTACTGCTGTCTTTCAACCACACCCCTGATCTTAGGGAAGGTAAGATCTCACACCCAGCCTTCTTGGATAAGGGTGAAAAATCTTGGAGGTCCCATATTCAAGCTGCGCTCGTTAAAGATCCTTTGATGGTCCAAATCGATTAGACAAGGTTTCGGCCGCCATCTGGGCAAAATTCGAAATTGATTCCTGCAAAACTAAAAATGTTTAATGTGTCCTGCACGCTCATATATCCATGTGCAGTTGCTAGCGCTGTAAAACACTTACCAAAACAACGTATATATA